AATTTTCCTTTTGGGGCCACTAATACTTTAAAATAAGTTAATTTAAATCGACTAGAGTGCGCAGTTTTAACTATTTATTACTGTTTGTGAGTGCTAAATCTGCTAGGCTCAGCAATTCTATTTTAAGGAACGTAAACTTATCGTATAATTGGATCGTGATTCGCGGGAAAAGTAAGTACTGCAGACTCCATTTCGTTGACATTTTTAGAGAGAAATATAAAAAATGAAAATTGAGTTCAGAATATGAAATTGGCCTTAAATATTTATTAAATTTCTCACTACAATGCAATTTTAAATTATATACACACGTATGCTATATAAAATATGTATTGAAGTACAAATATATTGAAAACAATCGCGTGTCTCTCGTTAAAACTCCTATAAAATACACTTTTAAGACGACAACTTTGTAGAAAAGTAAACTTCACAACATTTGTCAACTTCACTCCATAAGGCACATGATCTTGATCCATACACATATTTATCGTGGTGACTCGTGTCTAGCTTTTGTCTAGACAATACAACTATCTCAAAATTTACTTACATAAGATCACTGGTGTGGCATAGCGAAATAAAAATCTATAGATTGAATTACCGGATAATTTAATATAGTGTATATTGTGCACTGGTCTTAGCCTTTACATATACCGCAATTTGAATGCTATCTAAACTCAGTGGTTACAGTAGAAATCTATTTTACCTATCCATGTCTATGAATGCTACATTTGTAGTTGGAAAAATTTCGCAATCGACCCTGCTTAGTCCTAATAGTGTGTGCCTTTGTAATCTAAATATGACGCACCTCAATATTCTCGTAAGGGACCTCAAATCTTAGATCACTTCGGGGTGTCTTTCCGATGACGATACTAACCGTGTGTGTGTGTGTGTGTGCACGCGCGCTTACAATCACACGCAGTATAAAGGACCGTTCTCAATGCAAACGTAAAGATAAGCATAGCGCATAGACATAAACATTAACATAAGTGATAGACTGAAGTATTCACAATGTCTAACATCAACGTAAGCAACATAAGAGTTTCTATTGGTTGTGAGGCATTGTGGTTTACTATTGCTTGAATGTGTCTTACTTAAGCATAAGCACAGAAGCTTGAACCTTTGTGAATGAGTCCGCTCATGGATGCAGTCCTAACTTTTATGTTAACGCCATGCTTATGTTTGCATTGTGAATGTGCCTTAACTCTCGTACAGTAATCATTTAAGCTGGAGTGATGGTGCGGTACTCACCCTTGAGTGCTCGCACGTAGGACTGCCAGAACTTGGCCTTCCTCGTCACGGGCTCGTTGCGGCCGATCATGTCCAGATGGTTCTTCAGCAGCATCTTGAAGTCGTTTCTCTAGGGCGTCGTGGTCGTCGGTCTCAAAGAGGGTCGGATGGGCGCGGCTCTGCTCTCCTCACTGCGGGACAAAGCACACGCACTGACTCGCACACGGCAGATCTGGCGGTGGAGTGCGCGGCCGGCGGCGCGCTCGCGGGGATCAGGGGGCCTTGCGCGGGCGGAGACGCCCGAGTGCGCCCGAGCGCGCCCGAAGGGGACCGAAGCGACGCGAAGCGACGCGAAGCGAGCCGAAGGCCCCCGAGCGCTGGGTTAACGCAAGATGAAGGCTGTTGCAAAACGAAATGGCCTGATTCGCTGACCTAAATACTCTCGCTGAAGCGGAGTTTCTTTCGTCGATCTTGCGAATAGGTTTGTTGGAGATTGAGGGAAGAGGTTTTTTTTATTTTTTTTTATTTTTACGTGTTTGCGTTCGGGTTGAAGAGGCGTTAAGAATGGTGGAGTTAGGCAACCAGTTTAATCTGTCGTCCGTTGCAGTCTGGCCGTTTAGCAACGAAATAAAATTACTCAGGATGACGGGAAGCGTGTGATGTGGTGAAGAAAAAGATGAAGTAAGTGATGAAATGTCATGGCAGAGGAAAGTGAATAACCAATGAAAGCTTAAAGCTTAAAGAGATTACGTTTTGACTGCCATGCATTCCTGATGAAGTGACGTATATTTACACTCCGGTGTCATCAAATGAGTAAATTTATTCGCAGATGAGTGGATGAAACCTTTCTGAGGTGATGTACGACAATGGTAAATACATATTTGTACACAAAGTACAGTTTAAAAGTTTAAAAATGGCATTTTTGTGAATTTAATTTAATTTATATTTGTGGAAACTCGTTGAAAGCAATATTTCAAACATTTATTTCAATAACAACGAAACGATTCGAGTGCACAATGATACAGGAGTCAAAAGGTGTACGTTACCCAACTATTATAGGAAAATGCGACGTTTTATTCTTTAATTAAATACATTTGGTAGAGTGATACCTGTGACACATGGGCTTTGGAACAACCACTACGGCTGCGGGTTTGAATTCTGAACAATGTGAGATTGTTTCCACCACGGGATCGTGTCGTGAGTGGCTTTTGACACCACCACATGTTTAATCGAAACGGCCATGCCGTTTGATATTTGTAGTCCCAGCATCATTCATCCCCCCCCAAATACCCACTCCATCATCCATTCAATGGAAGGTAACGGCAAACCTCCCGTGAGTACCCAGGTAAAAAGTTGACACAAACCCGTAGGTCCTCATCCTCCCTACTCCTCCTCAGAAATGAGAATGGTATTTATTATCGTCATAGAAAGGAATCCTAATTCAGTGGAAGGCTAAAGCAAACCACCATTGAGATCACCTGCCCAGCGAAGGGGCATACAAAAAGACGTAAGCGTACTACGTCATCTGTGCTCAGAAATCAGTGTAGCACTCATCATCATCATAATCATAGTCATCATCATTATAGAATGTAATCCTTTATAAAACGGAAGGCAAAGACAAACCGCTCCCGTAATCACCTGTCCAGGAAACGGGACGACATTAAGGCGTAAACCTCCTCCGTCACCCTCCCCCTCACTGAGCACCCGTCTCACCTTCCACGCGGGTGCATTTCCAGATGGCGCGCAGCAGAGCGTGGAGGTTTTCCTGCGGTAATTTTAGTTGGCGCTGGCCCGCCTAGGGGCGCGGCCGGCCCGGCGCCGCTGGGCAGTGTCCGATTTCGCGGGGCAAGGTCAGGAGCGAGGGCCTCGCGCTATTCTTATCTGCCGCGCCTTCGCGCTCAACGACATCGCTCGCGCGCGCGAAGCGAGTGCGTTTGTTTTAAGTGCGCCCCGTAATTGTACCTGAAATTTGAGCACTCAGAACGTCCACCAGACTTGTAGTATAGAAGTCATGTTTGTAGTTAACGTATATGATTTACGTTACACATTCGTAACTCAGGCCAAATTTTTTGACGGATTTTTGTGATAGAAAAAAAAAATATTTACGCAAAAAAGTATGAATTGTAGTCGTAGTTTTATGTTTGTGCTATTTGCAATTATTTAAACCCATTACTAAAACCAGTTACTAGCTGCAATTTATCATACAATTGTCTACCTAAGTGGACTAATTGTCTTTTAATTAAATAAATAATTACATTAACCAGAACATCAGGTGTGATTACAGAAAGAGCTGTCGTGGGCGTAAGATAATCATTACTTTGTTTTTCGATTGTAATGGGAGAAGGAGAGTTACTTAAAAGAACAGTGAAAGATGAACACAAAAAAGATGGTAGCGATATAAAAATTTGATTGCCTCTGACGATTCCAGTTTTTTCGCGAAGATTTTAAATCTATAATCTGTGGAATTTTGAAATTAATTACTCTCCAGATAAACGTACAATGTAGAAATAGACGACCTAACCAAATGGCTTCTTTTATGAGATATTGCTCGAATAGAGCACAATAAAAAGCTATTTTGTAAAAGTGTGAGTTATTTTATTGAGTCTATCCTACAGACTCTTGGGTCTCTTTACTGCCCCAACGAATGACCTCGTAAATTTCCCCGAGGCAGATGCGGTCTCCTGTGGAATTGAGGGCATCGCTTATAAATTTTCCCAAGTTATAAAACGAGACGACCTAGATATCTTCAGCTACAGGAAATCGGGCTTTAGAGTTGGCGAGTATGTTACTCTCGTAAATGTGTCACACATCTTGTTTTAAGCGGATTAATTCGTTCCCGCAATATGACACACGCGAATTTGCTGCAGCCCACGAGAAAAGTATTTTTTTATGCAGCCACTAGTGAAAGAAGTTACTTTTAGGGATGCACGGTCTTCTAAAATGTCAATTTTTAGCACTAATGCTAAACGTGTGACGATGCTCAAATGTTCAGATAAATCTGTGATTACAACAAAGAAAACAGAATACTTTCGTCTGTACGTGTCAGCCACTACTAACCTTAATTTAATACAGTATACAATTATGTGTTTTATATATTTGGTACAATATAAGTCAATAATACTGAATAAAAATAGTGTACACGTGATAGAAGTCATTTTATTTCGCTCGTAGGATTGCGCGACTTTTTCTACTCACCAAACAACTTTTCCTACTCGCCAAAAAATGTCAATTTTACCACTCTTTTCATAAATTACTATTCTTACTTCTAGAGCTCTAGTTTTCCTGATATACGTTTATATTTTTATAAACTTTTCTGAGCGAGAATTTGGTGTTTAGGGTGCGTCATGTTCTTTAATCATTCGTTTCTTAAACTGCTGGGGATGTTAATTCTGGAATATGGCGGTGTTCTTGCTCCTATATAATGAGATCCGGTGTCGACATAAACATCGACTGGTCCCTCTTATTATTGACTGTAATAGTTTTATGGATAATAAGCATTCTCCAGACAATCTCATTTCTCCTTCGAAATGTGTTTGAAGCGAAACATGGCAATCATAATTTATAAATGCGTAAATTTACTAAAATTTCCTAGTATTTGAATGGTCTATCTTTCATTGAAGAAAGTATAATTCACTCTATATGGACTTCACTAGTCTTCATTATTATCATTGCTCTAAGTTAGGGAGTTTATAATGTACAAGTGAATCGTTTGAAATACGCTGTTAAAAAAGGAATCGTTTCGTCATCATTTGTCTGCCTACCATCAGTGATAATACCTCCCAACTTCACAATTTCCTTCATCTCCGTCACCACCAACACTCCACTACTACCACCAGAATCACAATCACTTCCACGAGCTGATAGATAACATCGCTTCTTTAAGAGAGCAGCAGCACTTAGGATCAGCATCTGGACAGTGTCTGCATCGACGCCCATCGTCTTGCGTCTTTCCTTCCACAGCCGTCCAGACTTTACTTTATCAGCTATTCTTAGACCCTCCCTTTAACTACCGATTAGAACCAGTTGCTGCACAAACTCCCGGCAATGGGTATCTCCAACGTGGTACCGGAAATAAAAAAAAATGCCAAACGATTCTCACTCGCTCTGAGTTTCAAATCAAAAAATGTCGAAATGAAACGAACTTAAATTGCAAGTTTAACATGTCGAGCGGCACTGGAAAGTGAAATAGACGTCCGGATACCAAAGGTTTATAAGTTCTATCAATTCTCCATCAGCTGAGAAACATTAATTTTGTAATTCAAATCAATAAATGTTCACCTTATTTAATGCATTAATACACTAATCTAAGAAACTACATAAGAAACAATACTATGTTGTAGAAAAAGCGTGATTGAAAGCTTTATTGTCAACATTTTTTGCTGCTACTTGATAATTAATGATGACGGCGACAGCCAAAGATATTTTTGAGTGAAGTGAGGGAGGAGGTTTAAAACTTATTTAAAACAGTTAAGCCTTAATTTATTAATGAATTGTTGCATTCATTAGGATTGTTTTAGGTTTTCATTACATTGTAATTAACAGACTCAAGACGGTGAATTTAAAATGTAAATCCGAAACATAGTGAATATGACTGAAAAAAGGAAATTATGTTTAGAAAAAATAAACTGAAAAAGGTTTAAACATGGATGTAATTTTTTTATTGACTATTTAAATAGCTAGTCCATTTAAATAGACAGCCGCGGTCTGGTGAGGAATTCTATCAGCCGGCTGCTCTGATGGCTTGTTTTCCGTAGTTTCTCCAATCAATACCAGGCGAACGCCTAAACAGAACCCTAACAATTGGGCCACGGATAGCATGCGATCTTTCTTGTCCTCTCCTCACCCCTTACAAGAGCCACACTTACACGCACTACATTTCTGAACAAATTCTGCTGTGAACAATCTTTTTCATTGCATTTCCATGGATCAACCAGCATGTGAACGCCGGTACCTAGAGATGGTCTGCCTTGGTGAGCGCTCAGACCACTACACCACGGATCGCCCAACAACAATGAATAAGCTACCTGTCAAAATGGCAGCGGGTGGCGTCGTTTCGTGTCCACGCCGGCGATGCCCGGCCCTCCGATCGCCAGGGCCCGTTATAGCCGCGGCGCGCGGGGAGGTGGGGGCGGCACCGCGCTATTTGCAGGACGCCCCGCTGGGAATAGCCGAACGACGGCGCCGCGGTTCTTCAGGTGGGCGGACCCTCCCCTCCCCCCTTCCACCATCCCTCCCTCCCACGTCACCTCACCCTCGGCCCGCCGACCGACACTAGTACCAGTATATTGTTCAAAATAACTTAGTAACAACTGAAAGTAGCTTAGATACAAATGCGATGAGAATAACTTAGAAACAAATGAAAAGTACGTACAAGTAAAGTAAATGAAAGTGGTAATAAAATCTCCATGGATCATACCCAATTGTGAACTACTTCATGAATTTAAAAAAAAGTTTTAAATCATTTGATAAAACTTAACAACACATACGTTTTTATTGCTTCTGATTTTCATTTCCGTAGAAAGTACGTCAAACGTCCAAGAATAGTATGTCTTCTGTTTCACGAATCGATTGGTGTGGTTCGTGAAAGGCGGACGGTATACGTCTCCACTAAAGAATTATGCTCATTAGAAAATGCAGATGAGGCACTTTCACTAGAAAGAATCTTAATTGAAATATTCCTTGCATGGAGATTAGCAAATACTTGCTTGTTTTCGTGTTTCTTCATTTCAATTCATTTCTTTACTTTGTTATTCTGTTTCCTCGATTTACAGGAAACGTGATGGAACGTAATTGATTGGATGTTCAAAGGAAATAAAAGATGTGATTGTGATAAACGTTAATTCGTTATGTTTATTATTATTATTTATTTTTACTACAAGGAGATTTTTCAGACCATCTCCCTTTCTTATTTATATACGAGATCACGTTGTAAAGCAAATTTGTCTATTTTCTGATGGTATTGGGATGGATGGAATGGGTAAATTTAAGTCAAGATATCATTTCGACTCCTTGCATTTATACTTCGATATACCACCAAAATTATTGAAGCATTTGCCGTAATGAAGATTTCGTTTGACGAAGTATTCATGTCATTTTCACTAATCTATTTCCGTTATAAACATGCTTACCTTGTTATCCTCGGCATTATTTTTTTGTACAGATAGAATAGTGGAGGTTCCCCCCCCCCAATTCGTCAATCTCTGAGGGACTCCGTAAAGAGTAGCGAGAAGCGTTTGCAAACGCGGTCAAGTCATTTGCGTAGCTTTTGTTCCATCCTGAAGACAAAATAAAGTCTGGGGAATTTCTCGAATCCTTGAGGAACCCCTCATTGACTAAAACCCATTTTCTTGACCACCTTAATTAATTACTAACTACTACTAATACCAATTTCTTGAGTGCAGGGCGTAATCTCCGTACTCGTTCTACTTAACGAGCAATGCTCGCCGATGCAGAGCCCGTTCCGTCAACGTGGCCGGTGTTATCCCTCCGTCAAGACGGAATCGCGAGGGCGGAATTCCTGGACGATGCGCAACTGCGGCGGAGGCGCGCTCTGGCGTCACGCTGCCGAAATAGCCTCCGACGATCTGGGAATCGGCCGTCGTGCCGCCTGGCGCAATCTCCGGTCGGACAGAGCCACGTCACAGGCCCGCCACCCACACCGTCACACACGCTCGCTTTCCTCAAAACCGCCGCTCCCGCTTGCTTCGACACCGTGGGACAGAGTACAAGGCCCTAAATAAACCGTAACAAGAAATTTAAAGACATAATTTGGGGCCATTTTTGTGGAAATTTTGAAAGTATTCAATGGGCATCACGTAAAGTACCTCCAAAATTTAAATATTAGTTTTCAAAATCGCAGGGCTTTGAGTGCAGGTAGATCGATCGGGGAAAAAATCCTAAAGAAAAAATCCTAAGAATGGTTTAGGTGCCAGTGTTGTTCACAGACGGATGGACACACATTCTAAAACGAAAACAACACTTTTTCGGAATCAGCGGTACCCTCAAACGCGTTTTTACGTCAAAATCTCGAAATCAATTTCCAGCAGCATTAAATAACTTAATCGCTACTTTGTATATTACTCGTATGGAGTGCGTATACGAAGTATACGAGAAAGTAAAAAAGGTGCCGCGAAAAATTGCCTCAAATTCATGTGGTACACAACAGGTTACCTCATGTGCACAACGTAACTAAACGGTCATGAGACTTTCATCTTGTGTTGACAGCATTACCGCAATTTATATCGATGTAATTCAGAACTGTTGGTGGACCTTGGTTACACGAGAACCTTAGAACTGTTTCTCACGGTTGAGCTTTTCAACACTCTTTTATTTCACATCGTTTACAGTGTCGAATGCGTCTTTTGGTCTCAGTAATGGAGGATGTTGAGGCGTTGAGATTGTCTTAAGGCGATCAGGCGACTCAGCTCGCACTGCCGTAAATGATAGTGCAAAATTTTCTAGACCTAGGGAATTTAGGATTAAACTCCTGATCTGGCCATATACTTAAAAATATTATATGGATACATGTTCATTCTTCGTACAGGATATCCCAGAATAAATTTTACAAACTTCTAAAACATGGAGGAGAATCAATGATGAAAACTGTTTGCCAATTAACGTGTAATGGACATTTTCATGTAATATCCTTAAACATGTGACATTTGTTCTTGATAGGCGGGACGTCATCGTGCTCGGATGATTTGCGGATACTAGTTTTCAGACAAATAGACATCGTGAACTTACCAAACACAAAATATAAATTAATTTCAATTTTGATTGGTCTGTTCACGTCACTCGTGCACCAACGTGAATGCCAAGGAGAGAATCAATGTAGGACATATTTACTTGTACTTAATTTTATATTTTACATATGTTTTTGTATACGGTTTACTGATTATCTCTATTAGGAAATATATTGAAATTATTTGTTGAATAAAATAATGAAATAGTGATATTTAATAAATTAATGTATGGTAGTCAAGAGTAGGTAAAACGGTTTTGTTGGAAACACCCGTGAATATGGCATTGTTTTACTTAATTGCATATTAATTACCACGACAACTCATCCTGTTGAATGTTTTCTCCCACATTCTGCGGCATTCGATGTCTTCTCGTATTGTAGCCCGTTTTGACGACGTCCCGTTTTCTCACGATCTGTGTCAACGTGGCTGTGTAAAGGAGATGAACTCGAATTGTGCAACCTCTGAGGAATCTGGCGGGAACAATGCGTTGCTCAACCTTCTCCCTGATTCACGCCAAGTCCACGCGCAGGCACAAGAAGTAAGTCACCGTAAGTGACCAAATCACTACACATTTTCAACACGTGCATTTCAAGAATGTTGTTGAATGAGTCAATCTTCGCTTTATTTCGTGATGGTGGATGAAGTCAATAAATAAAGGAGATGTTGACATAAACGATCGTTCTCCCGAATTTGATTGACATCCATGATGCAAAGTGATGTTATAATATTGAGCAACGTCTAACAATAGTAAAGGAGTATTAAGCGCATTTATGACAATTGTCATGGGGAGACAAATGCACACAAGTATGCATAGTGTATTAAAAAGTCATCAAGTTTAGGGTACTAGTCGGATACACTACAACAGAATATATCCTCACTGTTCGACATTCGAGTTACTACGGAGTGGTGGAGTGGAGAGTAGAGTTAAGGTACTCTAGAGTGTGAACAGTCCTGAAGCGGGGCGCAAGTACATGAAGACGGAGAGCGTCAGCTGCTAATAGAATGGTTAACCAGTCATTAAAATGTTTATTGACTGTGTTGATGATGATGAAAATAAATACACCCATACTGTGACATTGAAGAACAAATTTTGCAACAATGTTTTAAGTACTAATTCCTACGAGTACTCCTTATATCAAAAATAAACGAAAATATTAATCCTCTAAACTGCTTGACTAAGTTTCAACCAAACTTTTGTATCAACTTGCCATTTTACTTATGTGGCCAATGAAGGCTTAGCGGTCACGTGGTGAAACTG